GCAGGACGATGTGAAGAACTTGAGTAGTTGTCTGTAATTTCTAGCATGACCTATTGCATTCGCTCTCTCGAGTATCTCGTAAAATACCCTGGGAGAGTCTCTCTGCCGTTGCCTTTCTGCACTGAGGGAGAGGCAATGCAACAAACGGCAGATATTAAGCTAATTATATTTCCTGCTTTTTTCTCTTAGTCAGGAATTAGGTGGCAACCTTCAAACCTCTGGCTGAAGTAAGGCCTGGCTCAAGCTGCCCCGGGAGAGCTGTTTGGGCTGCAGGATTCAAGGAGCTTAGTAAGAGCTGTACTTGTCCAAAGACACCTTTTGATTTTCCCCTTATGCTGCCTTGATTTTTGGTTTTGTAGGCTTGCGTCTTTTCTCGCTATTTATTTTTGTCTTCCTCATTCCTTTGCGAGGGCACGGGAACATGCCTTTAAACCTCTCTGTGTGCACCCTAGAAGTCCCATAGCCACTGGTTGTGTTGGTTTGCTCAAGTTGCAAGYGCAAAAGCAGCCTTTCCAGACACTTCCCACATCCTATTCCGCATTCTTTCCCCCCCTTCCACATCCCTCACGAAGGCCCAGGACCTGCGTTTCTCCAGAGTGCCTTCCAATTGCTCATATGTTGCCCAATTCCCTCTCCTCCCTAACGAAAGAAATTTYCCCGGTTAAAGTTTATATAGGTAGGGTTAACGTTTTCTTTCATCTGGACTGACATGCAGCAAAATGCTTTTCCAGCATGCGAGCAGCCTGGGGAGTCRGGCTGGCCGGGTGGTTTATAAATGAAGCTTCTGTGTCGCCTTATATTGTATTTTAGCAAAGGATTTTTCTGTCCCAGCAAGCTCCTGTCTCCTTATGAAATATGCTGCCAGTTTAAGGGGAGAATAATATATTTACTATAACAGCAAGCAGTGTAGGAATAATTTTGCTGTAAAGATTAAATTTTTATATCATCTTGAAGAAAACCAACGCTTTGGCAGCCCCCTGAGAATGTGATGTCTGGCTCTTTCAGCAGGAGCGGTTCGGGTATTAGCAGCTCTAAGCAGTGTCTTTTCTTATGTTGTTCCTGCGGTATGAGAGCAGCCTGCTCCTTTTGTCCCAAAGTTAAGATTTTTGAGGCATTTTTTTTGAGAAATAAATCCTATTCTGAACGTCTTTATCAGGTGAATGTGGCTAGGAGAGGAGTGCAGCTCAAAACCGTTCAGAGCTCTGATCTGTGCTGGGCATCTAATGAGAATGCAGCCCGTTCCCACCTCCCGAGTTTGCAAAATTCACTAGGGAGTCTCCAAAGACTTTCTTTTTTATTTTTATTTTTATTTTTTTTTCATGTGGGATTAGTGCTGTTTATCATTACAGATAGGCAGGAACCAACATAAGGAGAGACGTTTTGGCAGCGGTTCAGTACTTCTGCTTTGGTGCCTGCCCAGAATGATAACACGTTTGGTCTGTAACTTGGGAATGGCTCAGGCTGGCTTTGCTTCCCAGCCTGGTCCTTTAAGGAAATGAGCAGATTGCCAAGACAGTCTTGCTCAGTGCGTGTGTAATTTTTGGCTCTCTGGGCCTGTTTCGAGTGGGTATGACAAAGGCTGGAGGTTTGAAACGTGCAAAGATGCCCTACACGTGCAGGCTAATAAGGGGCTGGGGAGAGGAGTGGGTCCACAGCAGCAGGACAGTGCAAGAAAAGCTCATCTGTAATGAGGGCTGGAAAGAACACAGCAAAAGGGTGTGCTGGGAGGCAGCCCTTGGTGGTTGCAGCCAAGGAGGATCTGGCATGAGACGTGATTTTTCCCCACGTAGTTCAGTGCGAACACCAAGTGAGAGATTACTTGGTCTCTCAGACCCACAGGGAGTTTCTGTGTAGGCTGTGAAGGGCGAGCAGCATAGGAGAAGGGCAAGGGTATTGCTCTAGAAACTGTGGTATCTGGTTTTTAAAACCACGTATCAAAGTATGTGGTTTTAAGTGCCTGGTCTGCACTTCCCTGAGTTTCTCCATCCTGGATTATCATCCAGCCTTGCTCCTCAGAGGATATGGAAAGTGTTTGCAGTCCTCTGCACGTGGATGTGTTTTAATGCAAACCAGGCGGACACTGCAGCTGCACTGCTGAACTTTTCTGACAGCTAAAACTGGAGGAGGAAGGGTTTGACTAGCATGGAGGTAACTGCAGAGGTCCTCGGTGTCACATCCCACCAGGGAGTCKTCATCCCTGTGCCTGGTTTTGCCTTTGTGAGTAGGGTTGCATTGAATGAGATGGTGGTGACACGGAAAGCTCCCTGCCCCATGTGTGTGAATCAGTCGAMTTTATTGATTCTTTTGTTTAAATGAGTTGACATGGATTTATTTGTACTTCCTGAGGCAGGATTTGTCGGAGGAGGGCTAACACAGGAGAATGTAACAGGGCGAAATTCATGGGCAGGAAAACGTCAGCCAGTGTGTTTAGTGAGCAGAGATAAATGTAACGTTGATGTCTGTGTGTTGTCATGCTTATGGTGATAAAGCAGTTTATGGCATTATAAGCTTGTTGAAGCTACTGAATATAAAATAATGTCTTAGCATTTCACTGGTGCCTCTGCAGTTGGCAGTGAAGCTTCATTTGGCAAAGAGCTAGAAGTTACAGCAGAGCCTTCTCTATGGGGATAGCTGGGACCTTTCGCCAGGGTCTGTGCATTTGCTGTGATGGTATCTCAGCAGCATGGGTGGAAAAAATGAGTGTGTACCATCTTCAGTATACCCTGTTTCTTCTAGAAGAAAGCCCAAGTGGGCGAGGAAGTTGTTCTGCATTGGAGACCTCCTCAGTCTGTCAGTGCAGGGCGAGGGCTGAAGAGGGCACCTGCCCTGCGACCCAAGCGCAACCAGCTGCATCCCTTAGCAAGGGTGTCCTCCTACCCTGGTGCTGGATCAGATCTACCAGGGCTTGCTGTGCTGCAAGTTCTGTGTTGGTATTTTAAATGCTGCGTGCCAGATTCTACCCATCTAATTTCAGATACTTGCAGAAATACTATATGTGGAAGCCCAGTTATCTYAGTCATGGGAGAGATAAGGACCTCTGAATCCGGTCTTGTGGTGGATGAATTTGCCTTGGATGGATGAGTCTTTCCCTGTTGACTTAAAGTGGAGAAGTACTGGGAGAAGTACTAACTTGGGTGACTYGGTTAAAAGCTGAGAATGAGTTGCTAATAACCCAGTTCTGTTTGGAGACCCATATTAACCAGAATGAGAGGGGCTTTGATGTTAACAGCTTAAACATCTGACTGAGTTAGGTGTTTGAGCACCAAGAACCTGGGAGCTCTAAGTTCCCTCATGGAGCCTCCTCCAGTGCTAACCCAGCTTTGGAAGTTCACAGTTCTGTGTCCTGGGAGCATACCATAAGTCTGTGCTACAGTCTTTCGGATCAAGAAATAGCACTGCTAGAYAGCAAGACAATTTTACTGCCATTACAAATGGCTTTTCATGGGGAGGGTGAAGAAGAATGAATTAAAATCATAAACCGAGTTTCTCAGTTTATGAGAACCTGAACGTGATCTAGGACCACCCTGAGGAATTTTGTGCATTTTGTAGATGTGCTGCTCCTGAAGAGAAAAGATGTAGTTTGAATCCAAAAATAGCTGTTTCCTATGAGCTGTCTTTTTGCAAGTGTATTTTAAAAAATATTACTTTAGTTCTTTTGAAAGCTGCATCTTCATAAGCAAGTTGAACCTTATCCTCTAAGTCATTTAGGATTAGGAATTAGCAGAACGATCCATTGGCATTTCCCAGATCAGGAAATTCCTGATTTCCTTTCATGCCTTCTTGATGTCTTCCTCTAGCTATTGCTGAACCTGCAGATGGAAAAAGGCRACCTAGATACCTAATTCATTCCGTTGTCACTGTGTGGTCTATTAGTTCTTGTCCTTCTTAATCCATTAGATTAAATCTAATCAATCTCAGAGCAGTCTGAGGGACTCCATCAACTCTCAGCAGCTCTCTCTCACTTTAGAGATCCCTTGCTGGAGGTAACGATAATAGTAATTTCTGTTGAAGTGTATCACACTGATTTGCATTCATAGAGGGTTTTCATACTACCTGACAATACTATGTTTTAAGAAATAAAAGTATTAAAATCTAAGTAYTGGAAGTGGGCAGATGGAGGAGTTTTTCCTGAGCAACAGACACCCAAGGAAATTTGGGAGCAGGATTGAGCTCTTGGATCAGTGAGCCGTGTGTGTGACCTCAAGGCGGTTGTCGCTTCATACACAATAATGCTGGTGTGAGTCAGCATGAGGTCTAAGATTAAAGAGTCAGATCTGCGCTCAGAATGACATCAAGCAAAGAATGCTGGTGTCTTGGTTTTAAAAAATCACCAAAATCGTCACATTACTTGTTTTCTGACGGAAGAAAACTGTCAGAAAACAGTTTTCTGTTTTCTCTCTAATGAAAAATATTAAAATTACGGATATTCTGTGCAATAAATACCAAATGAGCATGAACKTTGCTTCCCCCAGCCAACACCAAATCATCAACATAGCTCCTTTTGTGCAGTTCATTTTGAACTTTGCTTATTTCCTTTTGCTATGCAGATATAAATAAATAATTCAAATTGATAAAGGTCTAGGAATGCTGTACTTCAAAAGATAAGAAAGCTTTGAGGGGAAATTGTTTTTCAATCCATAACATTTGTATGCTGTTCACTGTTTATACTGAGCAAAAATTTCATTCACTTAGCAGTTAAACAACCATATTTTATTCTGTGTTCAGCCAGTCCTTCTCCTGGGGACATCTAACCTTGTATGTAATTACCTCTCTAAGAATGAGAAGGAGACCTAAATATCCTTCCTAACAACTAAATAAATGCACGGATCCCAGGGATGGGTTAGTAGTTAAATGCTGGTGGCAGAGCTCAATGGGGATATAATAACTGAGCCATGAAGAATTCAAAATTTGAAATGTTTTCCTTCCTGCATTATTTCTTTGATAGCTTTGAAATGAAAGTGGTGAAGTCTAACCGTGATGATGGCTTTCTTTCTCTTCAGGTTTGTCTAAGTCGCTTGGTCTCATTGAGGGCTATGGTGGACGTGGCAAAGGAGGCCTTCCAGCCACCCTGTCCCCTGATGAGGAAGAAAGAGCTAAGGGACCGCATGAGAAATATGGCTACAATTCCTACCTCAGTGAGAAAATATCACTGGATCGTTCCATCCCAGATTATCGTCCAACCAAGTAAGTACTGCTGGCTCTACCAAGAAGGTCACACGTTCAACACCTCGGTTGTCATCTGACAGCGAGAAGTACTTTTGTATTCTTTGATACTGTTTGCTCTTCCCTGTTTGTCTACATGGCAATGTTCAGTAATGAGCAACCGCTGTAGTTCAATTGAGACTGAGATTCAAAAAGGCAATTTATTGGGGAAAAATGCCTGCTTTTCTCCAACTCCTTTGCCTCTTTTTTTTTTTTTTTTTTTTTTTCTTTCTTCTAATGCAATATGCTATTTCTGGTGGTGGTAATGTGATCAGAAGCTCACATCTGTTCTAGTCAGCAAAGTGGTGTTTGCTGAGCTGCTGGATTTGATGTTTCCTACTCTGTAGTAAGAAACTTTCTCCTCTTCTCAGCTCCTTTGTGTCCCTGCAAGATTTCAGGGATCTCTAGCCTCTCCTGATGCCCCTCACACTCCTGCAAGCAGAGTCCTCCTTGTAGGATCATTTTGTGRTCTTGTGTTGGAATTAATGAGTGCRTAGGGATTGATACTTGGGAGGGGGCAGGACCACTCAGACTACTGAGCTGAAGATGGAGAAAAACAAGGCTGGGTTAGTGTGTCTGTGCTGTGAATTTGATACGTGATCTTGCTGTGTAAATGAACATGATGTCTAGGGTGCCCAAGAGCTGTGTTCCTGGTGGGTAAGGTACCTGCTGCCGCAGGGCCACCAACCCCTTCTGTAGCAACGCTCCTGAGAGGTCTCCATATCCATCAGAAACAACATGTCTTGTGGTCAGGATGATCAAGCACTACAGGTTCATTCTAAAGTGCCCTGACTCTGCCATCGGTTGGAGTGACACTCCTCGGGAGTGCAAAAGTGAGTGACACWCATCTGAGTGCAAAAGCCCTTGAAGGCATCCTGGTAGATCTGAGGGCAATCCCCTTTCTCTCCTGTTTTTTCCAGGATGGCCTTTTTTAAGACTGATACTTATCTTGAGAAGCTAAGCACTGGAGAAGAATAGACAGAGATGATTTTGCTAAGAGTGTGGGAAGTGATSTACTGTAAGTTTATCTTTACGAAACTTAATTTTAGATATGGCCAGTGGAGTGTTCCTTGAAACAGGAAAGTGTCAATTTGTCCAGTGCTGGAGTGAAGGCTCTGATAAAATGAGCTGTGAGACATTTAGGTTGTGACAGATACATGTCCAGTGCTTGTGACTGTAGGCCAGTTACGAAGCTGGGGATCTGCAGACCACTGAAAACAGGGGAGCGAGGGGACACAGCTACGTGGCTCCAGCGTACGGGCAAAGTGTTAAGGAAATGAGAGCATGGAGAGCTTCTTCCGTCCCTTCCCTGCATGCTGCGTGAATTCAAAACAGCTGCTCGTATTTTCCAAGTATTCCAGCCACTGACAAGAGAAATATTTGCATGAGTTTTCAAAGGAACTAGAAGCCCATCCTCCAGTTTTGCTGGTTTGGTTTGTCCGCGCAAAATGAACTGCAAGTACAAATTGTACCTTTGGCTGTATGATATGCAAATCCCCCTACAATGAAAAATCCTTGAAGTGAGACCTTCTGTAACAGTTACCTGCATCGAGCTTCTTACTTTCATTTTTTTTTTATCTAGAACTCTGACTTCTAGCAGAGCTAGCATTACTTTGTGAGAATTAATTTCAGAATTAATTTTTTTTTTCTGATCTTGGGGCGGGGGTGCTGAGGATTAATGTTGGCATTTTTAGTATTGCATTGTATTATTCTTTAGAGCAAATATAAGTAATTTCATGGGAGGATGGAAGAGAGGACAGGGAGGACAGCAATTTATTAAATATATGTAATTTTAGAGCTTGGCTAACATTTTGGAGTAGAAAGTTTAGGGTACTGCAGTTGCATGTAAAAACTTCAGCAGTGTGTCTTGTCTGCTGCTCATTTTAGGAATCAATTGTCTTGGTATTGTAAGAAGGCAGTTTGTCTGGTTATAATATAGGCTTGATTTTGTTTTGCTAGAGAATTTGGAAGATTTCAGCTTTTTCTATACCTGACTTGAAGTTTCATTCTCTATTTTGCACATGCAATTTTATGGCTGATTTTATGAAGGGTTTAATACAAACCATTTAAGTCAAGTATCCTGGTCTCTGATTAAAATAGATTCAAGGAAAAGGAAATTAGCCAAAATGGCTTTGAAATTGCAGCATTAGCGGGGAAAAACTGTTGAAAACTCTCTAGTTGATCAGTATTACAAAGCATGTATTCATTTTAAATATAGCAGTGATGCTTATTTGGTTCAAGGAAAGGCTGTTCAATGCTGCCTGTTCCTAGGCAGCTGCTGCCCCTGCTACTYGGTTGCTTTTGAGGTGCTGCTTTCCTTTCCTTCCCTTTTAACTTGCTCTGTGTAAAGAGAAGTATAAACCTGATCCCCTGAAGGCTGATCTATGCCAGGTGGGACCTCTTAGTTCCCTGTCTCCTCTTTGTGGCTGTGGCCAAAGTGAASGAGACACCAGAGGTTTAGGGGCAAATTTAGTGCGAGTTGGGCACATCTTGTGATTCTTCTGTATTTGGGCTCCCTGCTCCTTGAAGTTGGCAGTTGTGAGGATGCGGAGGTGCACGTGTGCCAGCTCAGAGAGATGCTGAAAGCAGGTGTTGGCCATGAGGAGGCATCATAAGCCCCAGCTGATGGGTTTCTGAGACCCTGTCCAGAGAGKACAGAAAGGAGAGAGGCAAGATTTGCTGAAGAAAACCTTCCAAAGAGTGTTGGAAATGGGGAGACTTTTAAGAGAAAGTAAGACCTTTCCCAAGGGCAACGTACCTTGCTTGTCTTGATTTGGGGGAACCGTAGTATGTCTCTTTAGTGGTTTGAGTTGCTGTCATTTTTGGTATAAAGCAGTTCATTTTAGAAACTTTGTTTTTCCTTCTCTTAAAAGCAGAGGCAGTTTCAAAATGATAGATACTTTCAGACTAGATGTACTCAAAGTGCTGCCCATGGTGTGCAGAACTTCTACACAGATCCCTAAAGAATAGGCTGGAGATACTCTCTTCTTATGTGCTTTCCTGAAAGAAAAATGAAGGTGAAGGAGAATACTGATCAATTGYGAGTTTTATTGTTAATCAGCTCACACAGCATCTTCTGTTTGCTTGTGAAGGAAGATGACTGAATTGGGGAGAGAGGAAAAAGAAGGCATATTATTCCTTTTATTGAAATTGGAACACACTTCCATGCAGATTAAATGGATCCTAGGGGGCTGATAACATTTTCTACTTAAATAGTCAATTTTATGTACCTCTAATCTTACTTTGTGATGTGTGGTTTAATAGGAACCCTCTCCTACTGGAGCTGGAAAATGAAAGATTGTTGTGTGGGGTGGGCCTGGATGGCTCTTGGTTGATATGGGATAGAAAGAGTTTTAGAAGTGCAGGAAGGCTTTGGATAGGGGTTGTTCCTTGATAACTTGCTTAAAAGGAGCCAAGGCTCCCTCCTTCCCCTGTTTTTCTTTCCTTTTTAATTTTTATTTTCTCTAAAGTGACCTGTCTGCTGTTTTGAGGGCTCTCAGGATGACCACAGCGGGCATGAGTATGTGTTGGTGRAGCTGAGCAGCAAGCTGCAGCAAGAGACGTTTCTCCTCTGGGGCTCTCGCCCCTCACTATGGAGGTACCCTTGAGTCTAAACATCTGTTCTGGTTAATGAGGTGTTGCAGGATCTTGTTATATCATGTTTTTATGCTAAATACATGTTTGGAAAGCTGTGAAGGTGGATGTGCCTTGGATACAAAAGGGCTGCCCAAGAACATGGGCCTTGAAGACCTTTAAGGCAGTCTCTTACCTGGGGTGACTGGTTTTCCWTGTAGTTTGGTCTCAGCTTTGTCTCTGGCACCAAGATATTGAAATGAGATGTGTTCTTGGCAAGTCTCCTAGTTTGGATAAGAGACTGCCCTGTGGGCTACTTCTTGCAGCCTTTTTCCCTCTGGCAAGATAGAAGGGGGTACAGACTCCTTCCAGCATTTTGCCTTTATTCCCTCCAGTAGGCACATTATTTTTGATTAATGTGGCTGAGCTCCAGAAATAATATTGTGGCAAGAGAAGGGAGATCCTTATTGGTGGATTCCTCAAGTTTTTTAGTAGCTGGAGCCCTKCCTTCATTGTGCATTTGTGACATTATGGCACTTACTTGGTCATGTCCTCCCCTAGGGTGCTTAGCCAGCCATGATGAAATGAGTCGAAGGAGAAGGATAGCGCTTAAAAGACAAAAAAYGAACTCTCTGGGAATTACAGCAGTGATATTTTTGGGGAAATAGAAGCTCATGACTCTTTCTTTGCTGACTTTGTTGCTTATGGCACACAAAGGAGGTCAAAAGTGTTCTAAGCACAGTACATCATTTTACCTTTTCTGACTTTTTTTTTTTCTTTAAAAAAAAAAAAGGCCGCTACAAACAATAGCGAAGAAAAGAGAGGCAGGACACACAGTAATTTTCTTTAAATAAGTGTTGGGAAAAGCTAGCAAGGAATCAAGGCAATGTAAGAAGGAGGAAAAACCAATGCAGGGTCTGAGAGGTGAAACGCTGTTTGAACAGCATGGATGAGCGTATCAAAAGACGCTTTCATCTCTAACAACAATCACAGCGAGTTGTGCGTCTTCTTTTCTGCTAGATATTTGTGATCTGATCTGGCACAGCTTGAAAAAAATCCCTGGCAGGGCCTTTTTATTGCTTTAATGTGGAAAAGGTAATATTTTCCAATATTTGGAAGATTTTCTGGGAAAACAAGTAAAGAAATTGAGCAGGAGGTGTCGAATGAGAAGTTCTGGCATAAGGGAGAAACATCTCAGAAAGGCCTTGCCAAAAGCAGGTCAGTTTTATTATTTCAAGATAGGTTGCTGGGTGTCTTCTCCTGTCCGCGCTCCCAGTCCTGCCTCGTGGGTCTGTTCTCTGTTCAGTTTTGGGCTTTTTTGTTTTGCCAGGCTGCAAATGTTCCTTAAGCTTTCCAAAGTAATGCATGGGGTTTTGCCAAATCTGTCCTTATCTGACCCGAAATTTAGC